AGAGAGAGAGAGAGAGAGAGAGAGAGAGAGAGAGAGAGAGAGAGAGAGAGAGTGAGAAGACAAGAATACAATAATGAAATTATCGTAGAATTTAAAAATCAATTATTGTAACATCCAATATATATATATAATTTGTTTCGTTGATAAATAAAAAAAGTACTAATTAATCACAGCACACACGCAAATTACGATGAACATTTATAATTCGTATTGAAAAATAACACTTATGTGCTTTTTGTTTTGTTTTGTTTTGTAAGAAGTCAAAGATCATCGTGCTCGATAAAAACAAAAACGAATATATATAATTATAAATGTTATGCATAATGATTATGTACAAATCGAACTCTTACTTATCATTAATGAAAATGAAACATCGAATTTTTTTGTATTTATATCGATGTTAACGCCATTTCAGGGTTTCCCAAACTGTAATCCACAAACCGGTACCGGTCCGCAAATAAAAAATTAAAAAGAAAAACTTTGCTATGTAAATTATTATCATTATTACAAATTATTTAAATTTATATTGAAATATGCAATTTATTGGTGAATTTAATAAAAGTCTAATTAAAAATAATTAATCTGATTTGTTGTATTAACCTCATTTATCCAAAATTATAATCATCATTTTAAATAATACGGCATATATATGTTATTGACATAAAATTGTGCCGAGTAATAATTTTACAAAACAAATACCGGTCCGCGGTAGAAAAAGTTTAGGAAACGCTGCTATATTGCATTAAAATATATATACATATGCGTACGTATACGCACGTAATACGCGTGAACAAAATTCTTACCATTTGTTATTATTGTATTTGTTTTTTCTTTCTCTTTTTACTTATAAACACTGTGGCTACGAAGTTAAAAAGAAAATAAGGAAAAACAAAAAAAAAAGACAAAAAAAAATACGTAATTTCGTATTGATCGTACATCAATTCCTAAGCTTTACGTAAGCGATAATAACGGAGAGATCGGTTTATTTACATATATAATACATACATCGTCCGAGAAGTCTTATATATTCCATTGATCATTTGACGAATGTCGTAAATGAAATCCCCCCCTCCCAAATAAGACTTTTTCTTCGAAAAGAGAAAAACAAAACTCATAAAAAAATTATTAATTTATATTGATCTACGCGGGCCAAAAGTTTTTCTACTTGTTAAACGATCGTAATCGTTGATTGTTCTTTTCTTCGAATTTTGTACTGATTGGAAAAAAAAGAAGAAAAAAAACGAGTAATCAACGGGTTAAATAACGTATTAACTTTTGGCCCCCTCTCCCTGCTCCTCTCTAAATCTGTATCAATCTTCAAATCTTTCTCTCTCGTTTAAAAAAAAAGAAATAAAACAAAGAAAGAAAGGCAAGAGAACAAAAATATACTGAAAAGCAAAGGAAAAGAGGATTCGACAAATGATCCGAGGTAGAGTTGTGAACGATCGAACGGGAATGTTGTTAACATTGTGTTATCGTTTTATAAAACAATAACGTTTGTGAAAAATAAGATTTAAAAAAAAAAAAACGAAACTAATATCTTCGATTGTCGAAAAAAAGTCATCGCATCGGCTTAATTTCGACAAGAAACACTAAATAAAAATGAATCGATAAATTAAAAAGAATAACGTACGAACAGTTTGATCGTACTTCAGATGAAACTTGACGAACCATTTAGAACAAACTATACTTCTGAAATCAGCTGACGAATTAAAAAAGAAAAAAAAGAAAATAAAAGATAAAAAAAGTAATAATAACAATAAGAAGAAGAAGATGAAGAAACGAAGATACGTTACAGAGACCATCCCTTCCCTACAGGCTTCAGACGAAATATACAAGAGAAAAAGAAAATAACGTTTCTTATTAAATGTAGACGCACCAACAATAGTCGCCCTTAGCCTGGAGTAGGTGGGGTCTTGTGTCAGTGAATATTAAAATTATATTGCTTACGGCTGGACGTAATACGGAGCCATCGGCTAACAGCCAAAGGTTCAGGATGACAGTTCGACCAAGTGATATCACCAAAATTAGGATAAGGCGTTGAGGTAGTAGTTGCCTCGAGTTGAATAGACGTTGAATAATCCTGCCTATGATAATCCTGTTTGTTTCTTTTGTTTGGTGGCCTGGTAGTGCTAGTGGTAGTGGTAGTAGTAAGACCGAGTGGACTGCTACGATTACCACCATGATGGAATCTTTTTCCATTGATAGGACCAGCAGCATTGTTACGTTGTTCCAATTGGTCAACGGGTTCGAAAAGATTCAAGCTAGGCATAGAGGAACCTTGTTGAAGTTGCCGATGATACGAACTCCTTGACAACGGGGAAAGTAGAAGATTATTAGATGAACGTAAGGAGAGAGTTTTCTCATCCTTAAACGCGGCCGAATAGATGCTAGCAATGGAATCAACGTCTGGATCAACGTCGAGAGAATTATCAACCTCCAGAGAGGTTGATATGGTGGTTGAAGTAAGCGGAGGTGTAGTCGGAGTGGTCGTTGCTGCAATAGATGTTGTAACCAGGGTTGTCACAGAATTGGTAATTAGGGTTGATGCTGTGGTTGGTGTTGCTGTTGAATTTGGCGATGGAATGTCGTTCGATACGACTGCCATAGGTGATACTATAATAGAATTTAAAGATGTTGTTGACAAAACCAAGGAAGATGCCGATGAGGTTGTGGTCGCTGGTGGTGGTGCAGCTGATGGTACCGGGGAAGCAGTTGGTATCAAGGTCGCCACCGATGACTCCTCAGTATTTGCTGGCAATGGAGATAGTGATGGCAAAATCACCGATATTGGTGCCATCATCATTGACGAAGCGGAAGAAGAAGGCTGCATTGCTGGTGTCTGCGAACTGCTACTGGATGCACTCGCTTCAACCAAGGATGACTCTAGACTCCGCAGTTCCTCGTTACCGAACTCCTCTTCGAGCTTGGTCTAAAAAAGATAAGCGTTGACGTCTCGAAATAAGAATCGTAGGGCCCAGTAGGAGGATGTGTGGCGTTAAAGTGCCCAAAAGAAACCATGCCTTACAGGTTTAGTGGAGCCATGCGGGGCCAGACACCGATAAAGCAAATCAACAGCCTGTAATAACAAAAACAGAAAACAAGTATCAACCGACACCCTCCTCTAACGTTTTCTTTTTTCTTTTTTTTCTTTCTTTCTTTCTTTTCTCCTCCAACTTTTTCCTGTTTTGTCTCCATACTTCTTGCCTTTCCTTAAGATACTTTTCGACCAAGTATGTTTTGAAGAGAGTGTGAAAGAGAAAAATAAAACAAAAACATCCCTTCTACTGGGCTGTAATAAGAAGAAACAAAAATCTCAAGAGATAAAAATACGTCGGAAATTTCACTAAAAACTTATGGGATCTCCGCAATCCTAAGCTATACAATATATGTATGTATGTATATATATATATGCAATTTAAAATATGAAACGAGACATAGAGACAGATAAATCATCATCTATGGGAAAAAGATCTCCATGTCGTTATCCTACTTTCAGCATTATTACATAATTGCGTCGTGTAACGTAATTTGTAATTCCTAAGATGAACAGAAATGAAAGTTTTAAAGCGTTCTACTAATCGAGACGGCACCAAAATATGAAATATACGTTAATAGCAAAAAAAGCAATGGTTTTAAGAATAATTCATAAAAAGACGATGAAGAAGAAGGAGAGGAAGAAGTAGTAGAAGAAGAAGAAGAAGAAGTAGTAGTAGAAGAAGAAGAAGAAGAAGAAGAAGAATGACCGAACACAGTATCTATATCGGAAAGAATCAAAATTTCCGAATGAAAAACATGCTTGCTAAAAGCCATTTGAGAGTTCAATAAAACTATCATCGCTGATTATCTTGATAAATATAAGGAACTTAAAAATAAAAATAGATCATCCAACAAAAACTTTCATTTCTACAAGAAGAAGAGCATTATTAAGGAAACAAAAAATAACAATGTATTAATATTTATTTGGCCAGTATTTATAATATTTGTAATTAATATTTGAAATAAATTGTCAATGTGCAATTCTGAAATAACTATTATGCTTTTATTATAAATACTGAAGAAAATACTGTCCAAATAAATAAAAGTGTTTAAAATACCATCACAAATAATAGTCACACGACGCGAAGGATTACGAATAATCCATCCCTTTGGACATAGAACAAAAAGAAATAAAATAAAGTGGAAAAAAAATCTGATCTTATATATAAATATAAGATGAGAATCGGATTCGTACCTTTGGCAGTGGATAGGTGTCTGGTAGCGATAATACCGGTGGTGAACTTGGTGCTTCAGAATCAACATTTGAGGTAGAAGTATTAGTTGTCAATGATATTGGATTGACCGATGGTGATGGTAGAGGGACAACTGTGCCACTGACTGATAATTTGCTAGATCTCGTATTACTCGGTACTTCCTTAGCTGCTCTATGTTCCGCGAGTAATTTGTCAAAGGTTTTACTTCGACCAATAACGGTTCGACGTAAAGAAACCGTATGCGCTTTGCACGTGAGTGACCTTGTACATGGTTTCCCTGTTTCTTCGTTCAATACGCCACAGTGTCTATCAGGATCGTATTCTCGATCTTTAAGGAGAGAACGATCCGCTTTCAGCCTTTTTCGTCTGGTTGTTCCACTTGTCCCAGGACTTTTAACTGGACTCGAGGATGTCAAGGAACCACTGCCAGTACTAGTGGTCGCTGTTTGTACTGTTTGTAAAGTTGTTTCTAAAGGTGATCTAGGTGAAGAGGAAACTGGTAACGACGTTGTTGAGGTACTACTAGGTTGCTGTTGTTGTTGCTGCTGTTGTTGCTGCTGTTGTTGCTGTTGTTGTTCCACCGAAGTATTTCGTTTTGCTGATGTATGAATCACTTTGGTACCACTCGAATTTTGTGCTGATGCTGGCTGTGTCTTCTTTAATTTAGTTACTTTGCAATATGGTGTCTTTACTGTAGGTTTTGTTACAGGTACAGAAGGTGGAGGAAAATTAGCTGTACTGCTAGGATGTCGACTCTCTATAAGATAATTCAATCTTTACATTGAATACTCTTAATATAGTAGAGATCATATGTTTTATACAAACATTAATATTTACCCATATGCTGTCTAAGAGCTTGAGGTTTTACTATGGCGTTGCATATCTCACAGACCACTCCATAAAAAGTATCTCTTTCTGGACAGAATCCATACAGATCGATATCTGAAAATATATTATTCTCATTATAAATCATCTTCCATATGCGAAGAATAAAATATATTTACCTTCTGCAGAAAGACGAGTAACTGTACTCGCTGGTCTTGTTTCGGATTCTTCATCACCTGAAACATACAACCCAACGCATTAGTTCAAGTAAATTATTATTCCAAATGCTACATGGAATTCTAATTAATTTTCATTCTTTTTAAAAACAAAATCTAAAAGTGTATACGACATGATTCTAATTCAATAAGAATTTCTAATTGTTTAACGACGAATTATACATTTTCTATTTACATTTCCTACCGTCAATATATAAGTAGATAATATTCTTAACTGAATAAATACTAATGACTCTTTTTCTTCTCTCATAATTCATAAATCTAATATTAGCCTAATTAACAACATAATATAAAAAGTATTTAAGTTGATGATCAAAGAAAGAAAAAATAATTTTAACATCTATTATTTCAAACATCAACATTTACAATCTTACATAATTATGAAACAATAAAAGCATTTTTAAAGAAAAACAATGAACTATAAAGAAATTATGCTTCTTGAAGAACACAATTGCTTTATCATCAATAAACAATGAATAAATAAAAAAGATAATCAACACAAGAAGATATAAAGTCGAGTAGAGATGGCAAAGAAGGGGGAGGAAGGAGGAGGTAATGAGAGGAAGGGGTAGTAGTAGAGGGAGGAGGAGAAGAAGACTCGGAGAAAAAGAAGGCGCTAAAAAGTGAGGTTAGGTCGTCAAATCGAAACCTCCATCGTCGAGATCAGAGGTTCGTTAGAAAGTAAGGAAAAAAAGATATTAATGTATGTAAGAAATAAAATCAAATGAAACTAACTTAAAGGTTTATCCCTTCCGATTCTTTCAATCCAGTTTGACCAGGGTTGGCCGTGAAAAAACGTTGGGCTGTCACTTCCCGACATTCCCAGTGGCGCTCGCGTTGTCAATGAGACACGATGCGTTATTCTCTTTCGAGTATATAGAGCAAAACGAAAACGTTGTTTTTCGGGATGTTCCGCGTTCTCGGATTGTCAGGTACGAAGGGCTTGTCTCAATAATAATCGTTCTTCTTTCTTTCGTTTCACCGTTTTCTTCGTACGCCGGTGAAACGCGTTCATTGGGCACCCTATATACGATCAAACACAATCTATCTTTTTCTCTCTCCCTCTCTCTTTCTCTCTCTCTCTCTTTTTTTCTCTCTATCTTTCTTTCTCCCTTTCTTTTTCTTTCGTGTTTGATCTCTCCCTTCTTCTCTCACAATTCTTGAAAGAAGCTTTAGATCAAGTACACGAACGACATTACGAATGTTCTTCCAACATTTTGTTTACTAAATATATTATATCCTTCTTTACGCTGCCGACGATAGGAGTAGGAACACGTTTCTCTCTCTTTGCATGTGTTACTGTAAATGAGGGCTACAATAAACTAACTAAACGAGTGATTGGTCAACCGCGTTGCAATGTAAAATGGCGCACCGTTGATACTTTAGGCGCGAATTTTACCGACCAATCACGAATGCTCGTTCGATTATATGAATACTTCAAATGTTCTTATTGGCTCCTTCGATCGATAAGTTTAGTCGAATGTATACATTCAAATGAATATTTATTTATTTCTTTTTACTTTTCAATTTTATATTTGTAATTACAAATTATGAATACTTTTATTTTATATTTTAATATCGAAAATGTATGTATTTTAAAATTCCAGTTCTCATTATATTAGGTTGTCCGAAAAGTTCGTATTAATTTTCGATAGGTGGCATAAAGTTTTTTTGTTGAAAAACTTAAAAAGTTCCGGTAGGACAGATTTATTTCGATAAGCGGCAAATAGTTTTTTTGTTGAAAAACCTGAAAAGTTCCGGTAGGACAGAATTATTCAAGTTACCCTTAAAGATGGAGGAAGGTTGTGGAGCAGAATAACACTTACATATAATTTAATAAATAAATATATTAACCAAAACTTAAATGCGTTGCGTTTCAATCTTTCGTCAAAATCGGCACGAATTTTCCGAACAACCAATACTTTTATTATCTCTCAATTCAACTTAATAATCATGAAATCAGATGAAATAATAAAATAAGTTTGATGGTATACGATTCATAAAACTATTCTTAAACTGAGGCCTTAATTATGTTCTAACAGTAAGGAAAATTTCTCTAACCGTAAAAATTTAGTTAATATTATTTTTTTAAAACAATATTTTACGTTTTCGATGAACAATTCTTATTTCCTGTTCTCTTTTGCTTTTGAGATATTTAATTATTTTCCTCAATGAAATCCACTTATATTAAAATAAGGATTATGAGATATGAAAGATAATATGAATAGAATATTAAGATGATCCATGGATCTTCCGATCAAATATGAAAAAAAGTACTTTTTTCGAAAGAAAAAACATTGAAATTTGACTAGCACAAAAATAGAGTATATAAAAATAGGGTATATGTACTCTATAAATACATATAAATATATACGTATAAAACGGTTCACAATTGTTTAAATATAAAATGACTGGTTCTGCGTTTGTTGTTCTTGTTGCGATTGCTGATTTACTTGAGCATAGTTAACTGGATCACCTCGATGAGCTTGAATTTGTTGCCAATTGATAAACCAAAAAGGTTGTTTTTCTTTAGGCCAGGTTTTGATCCTATTAACAAGATCTATATCACCATATGCATCAATCGGTAAATTTATCGGTACTTTGATGGTTGTAGAACTGGCAGAATTTATTGCACTTAAGGAACTTCCACTTTCAGCGTTGATACGATTCCCAATGTCTGAAGTTTGTCCTGGTATTGGTGTTGTTGCTGCTGCTGCTGCCGCTGCTACAGCTGCTTCTGTGTATTGTGGAAAGACTACGGGATAACGGTTACCGCTACCAGCGTACGGTGGTCTTTGGGAATAACCCAAACAAGCCATTACACTCATAAATACTATGTATTTTATCTGAAAAATACAATGTTTCCATTCTTTAACAATATATTTTGAATACATAAATAATAAATGAAAAATAGACTAAATATGCAAATGGTATGAAAATAAATTTGCTATTATTAACATCATTTATTAATAATAAGTTTCAAAAATGAATAATAATAATAATAATGAGAAAAAAAAGAACAATCGTCAATTGTACTTACCATGATTGAGTTAAGAGATTCAGAAAATACGAATAGAATGTCAAGGATAAAAACTTGTTTCTCGAATGAACCTTTCTACTTGCCAGTTAAAAACGGTATGCTGGCATTGGATGATGTTCTCGTATATAAAACTGACACAATCCCCACTCCTGTTTTCTTATTGTGCGTAAGAACGACGCATATGTGGGGAAGTTTACTGTAAGTTCCCGCGATTGATTTGAAAGAAATAAAGAAAGAAGGAGAAAGGATGTAGAAAATACAGGGTGAACTGCGTCATTCAAATTGTTTTAGATTATAATTTTTTTTCAAGATAAAAAGTACTATCTTTCTTTTGCGATAAAGTATATATTCCCATTACACATTTTTAATTAAATCTCCATTGACGTTAGAATTTACATATGATATACAAAACGATTAGTGTTAGACAGATTTTTATAAATCATTTAAAATCGAATAGGTATACTTGAAATTTGTAGTTTGTATTACTATTTTCATGTAGAAGGTAAACAAACGTTACATGGTATAAGTGCAAGAAAGAATGAATTTTTTGTTCATAAGGAAAACCACTAATTTTATTAACGTTTACATGCGCATTTCTATGAAAATATATAAAAATAAGATTTAAAAAAGCTTTCGAAGTAATTAAAGAACGAATGTGAGGAATGAAGGAAAAACCAAAGTTAAAAAAAACGGAAGGTCCTTGAAAAAATATTAAAAAAAAAAATCACAAAGATCGATCAATTGTCTAGTGTAAACAAATATTTCCTTTGCTTCACGTTGAAGATGTTACGTCCACATTTAATTATAAATCCTTGATTTTTATTGTGCGGTTTATAGCTGACGCATCGTTTTTACATCTGCGTTAAATATGCAAAATGTTATAGAAAGACAAAAGTTGTGGTTTCCCATTGAGAAATGTTGCGCAATAAAAAATTCTTACTATTTCTAAAATGAATATTGTTATTTTTTTCTATACTTCTAATTTTTAAATTAATATTTTCGTTTAAATATATATTTCGAAAAAAACAAGAAAAAGAAAGAAAAATCTCTCAATTTCGACTTTACTCTGAATACATATTTCAAAGTATATTACGCAATTACGAATAAAGAAATAATAATAATAATAATAATAATGAGGAACTTAACATATATACCGACTTACGATCTTTCAATAATATTTTTAAGATGATAAGACCGAATGCATTTTCTTATCATCATAAATATGCACTTTCATATATGCAAATCGAACGAGTTCAATTAGGAAAAAAATACATAAATATGTACAGTTACAGACTATAAACAAAGATGAGATGTAAGAAACGTCTTCGTTTTCCAATTATCACCGAACGGTACAAACAAACTGGTTTTATTCTTGCGTATAATAAAAACGAAATAGGAAGAATAAAAAAAGAATAAGTCATGCGATTTCTCTCAGAACAAATATCACAGACTTTTATTCGAGATTTGGTTGATACAAAATTAGGACGCTTTCGAAGATGATATTTTTATACTAGTTCTATTTTAAACTTTTATTTTCTTCTAACCCTAAAATATATTGGCTCATTTAATATTTTATTATTCTTTTCATTCATACTCCTACACATTCTTTAATGATAAGAAAAACGTAACGATTGCTTTTAAACATCTGCTCATTCGTATACAGGAACGGAAATACCAGAAGATTAACGATGCGAAAGAAAAAAGAAGAAGAAAATGAAAAGACATCTCTCGGATAGGATGATAATTCTTTCGTTTAAGGCTCGTCGACTCACAGAATTTATAGAATTCGTAGTAAAAAAATATATCCTAACGTAACAAAGAAAATAAGAATATTATGTCACGGTTGAGTTATTGTTTACTCAATCATGTGTAACATACTTGCATACTCTATGTGTTGATAATAAAAACCATAAATCACGATAATTAAAATTTTGCAAAGCTAATTTGTACCATGGGTTTTTCCCAATGACTTATAGAACTATGTTTTATCTGTATATAGACATATTCATATACAGAGTGTCCCACGTAACACTTTTCAAAATTTTTCAAGGTCTTGCGATAACCTGACAAAAAAGTATTTTAAACAAAAGTTGATCAGTTTTTGATTGGCTATACATTGCAATAAAAAAAAAGTTCGGAAAAATTTTCTTTTTAATTTTTTTTTAAGGCTACCTTCATTTTTTCAAATGGCACTCTGTATTTTTGACTTTACAATATTATAACCCGTATTAATACGAATTTAATGACATAGTATACCATGATCTTTAGATAACCTTGATAGCAAAGAAATGAAAATTTCAACAAAAAATGACAATCTGCTTCAATGGGCGATAATAACTTATATTTATTATTAAAACTCGAAATTACATTCAATTTAGGCCAATTCAATGTATAGCCAATCAAGAACTGATCATCTTTTGTTGAAAATACTTTTTTGTCAGGTTATCGTAAGTACTTGAAAAATCGTGAAAAGTGTTACGCGTGACACCCTGCATATATACAATATATGCATGTACAATTTATTTTATGGGTTAAAGATCTCAGATTATTCTTCTAATTAAAATGATGAAACTTATTTCTTTCTTTTTTTATTTCTATTATTTTTTCTTAGAAAAAGATATAGCAAATAAAAAAATAGACGGATTCATGGGTGAGACTTCTATATCGATGTTTGTTAGATTGATAAAGAACAAATAAAAAAGAAATTAATTTTAAATTGACTTAGAAAAACAAAGTAAATCTTCTACGCATTTAACAAACTTTTTGCATTGTTTAATAAATTATTGTTGGATAAATTGAATATAAACAAAATTAACGAGGCAAAGGAATAAAAAAGAGAATAAAAGTACGATTTAAAATACAAAAAACGTGACTTATAATGAGGATAGAAAATTTCTTAGTATAAAAGGAAAATTACTTTATGGATAACTTGTCAAAATAATAAACGATTAAAAAGTCATCAATGTACAATATTAATGAGCTTCTGAAATCGAGCAAGTGAACGAGAAAAATAGTCATCTTTTTATATTTTCTTTTTCCATGAGATGACTACACTACTTAATTTATGATATCAAAAATAAAAATAAAAAATAAATAAATAAGCAGTGTATACGAGAGCTGTAATAGGCAAGGGATTAAACAAACCAACAAAGTAATTATTTTGTATAACGGGTTGCATGTTGCAAGGCGTACGAGACCTCGTGTAAAAGGGTTGCATATTTTAAGGAGTTCAAAAGCATCATGAAAAGGCTTGCAATCTCAAGGAGTTTAAAAACTTGTACAACGGGTTGCATACTTGAAGGCGTGGGTATATTTCTCGCAATCATATCTATCTCCAAGATTTACAAAATTGTAAAACATTTCAAATAGTAATAAACCAAACGATTTCATTATAAAGTTATGACAGATATATTTTAGACGAAATCCCATGATATTCAAGGTTCTATGAGATTTACTATTGAACGAGGAACAATTGCAACAAGGTGCCACTTGCAACAGTAAACTGTTGACATAATTTTCCGTTTAATGTAGTAGGAGGTAATTGGTTATAATACTTGAACGTAGTGTGCATAGAATATTTGAGTCAAGGTCACTACGATTATTTCGCTGGATCGCGCCTTCGGTCAAGTGTACTCGATGATCTATGAGAGAAAAAGAGTGAGAGAGAGAAACACGTAATAGATCTTACTACGTCGTGTCGATTCGAATCCAATCTTCGAAACACGTGCAATCTTTTACTTGTTTTTTTCTTCATTCATTGGAACGCGCGATTAATCGGATGTATAATAATTCTTGAATTATCCTCTTAAAATAATACAATAAATATCTAAGATTGAAAAATGTCATAAGAAGGGTATGTAGAAAACATTAAAAAATAATATAAAATATAATAAAAAAGGAAAATATCCTATTTTTTCTTATTAATAAATAATAATGAAAATGATTAAAAATGAGATATGCAGATATTATTACGTTAGTATTATAATAAAAGAATATAATGAAAGAGAAAAACGTAGGTATTTTATTTAAAAGATATTACCGATGAATTAGATTCGATTAAATTATAGCATAACGTGAAGTCAGTTATAACATTTACCGAGGATATAAAAGGAACATGTTGGAGCAATGGGGAAGTTATTTAGACAAGAACCTACCTCCAACATCGTCATGAACTTCATTCTGATACCGTATCTTCTAGGTCGGTAAGGTCTTTTAATTAATTTGTTTATCTAAAACATATGTAGTACAGCAATTTATTTGAAAATGGATAGAGAAATATTGAAACATAATAATGAAGTAAATAAAAGTTAAGTGGAACCTCGGTTTGCGAGCATAATTCGTTACAGAAATAAGCTCATAATCTAAAGTATTCGTATATTAAAGTATCAAAATAAATTTCATCATAAGATAAATAGAATGGAAAAGAGAATAATTCAATCCACAATTATTAATTGATATAAAAATGATATAAAATACAAAATACTATGTAACAATTATATAAGTTAATCCTTGTCGTTTGTTAAACGTATTTGTACTGTTATGTTGCAAGATATTGTTAGTTCATAGAATCACAATTTTTTACTCATCTTGGGGAATACTCGTGAACCAAATTATTTGCAATTCAAGGTTTGACTATACAGTGGAATTTTAGTTTGTGAGCATAATTCATTACAAAATAAACTTGTAATCCCAAACACTTATCTATCAAAGTATCAAAGTGAATTTTGTCAAAAGATATATATATATATATATAATAGAAAATCGGATTATTTGTTCCACTATTATTTATTAATATAAAAATGATAAAAAATACAAAATACTAAGTAACAAATAAACAAGTTAATCCTTGTCATTTGTCAAACGTATTCAAAATCCAAATTTTGTATTCGTCTTGGGGATATTCGTGAACCAAATTACTTGCAATTCAAGGTTTAACTGTATTTAGATAATATTGAAAATATTTGCAGCAACGAATTTGATAAGTAACGACGATGCTTGGAACAACGGGCCGGAATATTCGTTCTCCGTACACTTGAGCATAATTTCGGATCTGGAGAAAGATAAAGGTCGTTACTTGGGTAAAGCATTGCTCGTTAATCTAAAATGTCGGCCGAGAGAACCGGATGATTTGTTTTGTCATTTTGAAGATGCCAAGATTGGTAAATTTTGGTCGAAAAAATTTGATCGCGAGGGTGCATTACCAGCGAGGAACATAAGTTACGAGCCATTCAAGTTCAGTGGGAAAAATTTTGAAATACTATTCGATCAAAATGGAATAAATGCATACGTATTAGAAAATGATGACAAACTTATGAATCAGGTACTAATCGATATGTTTCGAACGATCATTAATCAACTTAACATCGGGACGAATTTAGATGGGAGAAAGAATAACTTTCAAGATGAGCAACATTTTTCTATGGGCAAGTGTCCAGCTGATTACAAAATCCTTCGATCAAAGGCCAACAATCATTGTGAGAAAAAACGATTTGATTTAGTACCCTTAATCGATTTAATATTGAATAAAGACGAAGTTATACGAATTAATAGACAAATCGTTCTCGATAAATGCGTTCCATCTGATATGTATTATTTCATTGGAAATGATATTCACAATTCGATTTTTGAAAACACTACGTATCGTTTGGTAAAATATTATTACTATTAAATTATAAATGATAATTAGTTAAATATAATTGTAAATTGAAATCTTTGAATATATTTTTCAGATATCATCTGAGAGTAATATAAGATTTTCAAAAAATTGTTTTACCTCCGAGACGTTAAATATCGTTGATATATACGATCAGGATCGAAAGAAAATCGGTAATGTTCTCGATCATTTATATATATCACTGGATTCCATTCATCCGGCCCAAGGTAGTTTAAAAGGCTTACGCAATCCAATGTCCATTGATGTCATCGTTAAAACCCGATCAAACTATAATACAACATTAATTAATCTTCCTTAAAAATATAAATATATATAATAATATATAATTTATAAAAAGAAAATTAAATAAATATACCAAGTACAATACCTACCATCGAATTGTTACAAAAATAAATTAAAAACAAACAAAAATGGTAAACGATAATAAAGCGTTGCGATTGAAATGTTAATTAACCAAATTTTATGTTACTTCAAGTGTACAGAACTTGATATTGCAATAATATGATTGTATTAACTACACATTAAAGTCAAGGTTACGTATTCAAGCAAAAAGGTTTGAGATTAAATCCAGCTACTATGATTTATTGATTTAATCAAGTTAAACTTCGAAAGCACTTACATTAAAAATCGAAACGCGAGAGAAAGTGTGAAAGAAATTTTTCAATTTAGATACCAGAAATGATTCCTAATGGATAGGAAAGAAAATAAAATGATTAATTAAGTGGGGAGAAAAAAGAAAGATGATAATTTGCAACGATTAGATAATAGATTATTGTAATTGATATAGTTGCGTGTGAGTTAGTTTGAAGAAATTTCAACGACATTTTGTTAAATGATAAAATTGTCGATGATTATACAGGGTGATTCACTGACTCTTGCCACCAAGATAGCTCCGAAAGTATGATAGTAGCAAAAAAGTTTATAAAACAAAAGTTGCATGAAGAATTCGGGAGTATAATATCAGGTCAGTCTTTTTTTTGCTAGGTTTAGTCGCTTCCGAGATTTATGAGTCAAGTTTGTTTTTTTAAATGGAATACTATGTTTTGATACTTATTTTCTGATAACGGCTGTCGTGGCGAATCCGACGATGTGCAATATTAAATATAGTAAATATTTATTAAATACGGTGTATTTATCAAACCTGATTATGTCTGACTGTTCCGTTCTTGGTTGGACACCTAAAGGATGACGCAACCCTGACGCACCTACGACGCAGGCACGATGCGGATGGTTCGCCAGATTTTACCTTTATTGACCTTCAAATACCTTAATGTTGAACATCGTTGGATTCGCAATGACAGCCGCTATCAGAAAATAAGTACAAAATATAGCATTCTACTTAAAAAAACTAACTTGACCCTTAAATTTCGGAAACGACTAAATCTAACAAAAAAAAACTTACGTCATATTATACTCCCGAATTTTTCATGCAACTTTTGTTTTATAAACTTTTCTGCTACTATCATACTTTCGGAGCTATCTTGGTGGCAAGAGTTAGCGAATCACCCTGTATATTGTCAGCTTAACTTCCTGGAGAGAGAAATAGAGAAAAAGAGTGAGAGAGAGAGAAAGAGAGAGAAGGTATAACGTTAATTAAATGACGGCGCGTTAAGGGGTCAACAGATTGCCGGTAATAGATATAAGAGAGGCGAACAAGAGGAGATTAAATGCAGTCGTATTTTGTACGTCATCATGATCACCTTGTTGCTATTACCCTTTTTTTTACGTAAGTTTTAAACGCAATTTTAACACTAAACGTACTACGACCGGATTTCAATGACCGTTTGTACAATTATAATATTAACCAATCAAATTCTTTTGCAAGTTATAGTATTATTTGGTGAGTCAATAAATCTTATTGCATAAATGATTCAATATTTTTTGTTATACGTAAATCGTAAAATATATGCCTTTCAAAAACGTGTCATTAGATCTGCTGTGATAGAAATAGATATACATAAATAATCGGTACGTTTAGTGTTAACAACGTCTATAATTATTACCAAATATATCATATTACATGAATTCTTTTTCAAAAAGTGAGCCGAATTTCGGTGGACATTGATTCCCTCCTTCATGGTCCGGAATACACTTACCGAGTTGAAATAAACACCATAAATAATGATGGACTTGGTGGTGAAATGACAAAAGCATTCGACGTGGTCAATACTTTAAAATGTCGTCCCAAAGTACCGGACACGTTGAATTGTCGTTTCGAAGCAGCCAATATACGAATGTACAAGGAAGGCTTGTTCGAATTGGCACGATTATCTGTCGAAGATTTGGGAACGAATGATGAGACATTCGAGATTAAATTCGACAAACATGGGATTAGCCATTTGGTCGTAACCAAGGATATGGAACCCTGGACTATCGATATGATTAGATTGATAGTTAATCAATTAAACATTGGTATTAATATTAGAAATAAACCTGATGGCAAATTTACGGGTATAGAGAAATCGTATTTCGGGGAATGTAAAACAATGGTCGTGCTTGATCATCGTTTATCAGAAGATCGATGGAAGGACGACAAATTCGAAATAATACCGATGAACAATGGGATTAGAAAATTATCCGGTGAAGTTGTCAGCATAGAAAAAATACGATATTTCGATAATAACGACGAATAGAAAGTATACTTTTTTGGTAGCTTATCTGCTTATTCGACGTTACCTGCTGACGTCACTACGACTATAGTAAGCGATCGAATTTATATATTTGATCTTTTTTTTCGTTTTGCTTTTATTGGAGAAGGGAGGGGTCATTAAGGGGGGCCCCCTTAATGAAATGATCCGATCACCGTAATCGAACGTTTTATACTTGATAGATTAATATTTATTTGATCGGTATATTGAAATACTATTTGTTGTTTTAGAAATCATCCCACAGCAATATCATCATATCAGACTCGAACTTTACTTCCTATACGACCAATGAAATCGTCATCAGTAATAAGGACAAAAGTAGAAATTTTACCCTCAACGAGAAGATAAAATTGAGTTTGGAAGTAGTGTCGACAACGAAAAGTGAATTACCTTTTATCCCCGATGCTACATGGGTCAGCTTTATGATTCAAGATGATTGGTATAAGGACGAAGAAAGATACTTTCGTATGAAAAATTCTATCTTTTCTTTTTAAGATATAATATTACCTATTAAAGAAATAATTAAATACTTGCTGATAATATATTTATTTGATTCATCGTTATAAACAAAAACAAAAAAAAAAGGAAACAAAGCATGTGCGTGGCCTTGACGTTCGATGAAAATGAAACTCGTATTATCACGTGGAAAATAATCAATTGATTCATTTATATAGCGAGTGTCCCTTAAAATCGTACACGGTTATGCTTATTAGATTTTTTGCTTCAGAACTATTGATATAATGTGTTTAGGAATATGAAGAAACAATTTAGAAATAAATATATTGTATTTAAATATTTAATGAGTTTAACTGGAAAGCTTTATTTATAGCAAATGAATTAAACAAATACGAAAATAATGTATGGAAAACGTTCGTCACTAAAAATCTGTGACTGTGTTAGTATAACAGGATTTTTTTATCTAATATACCTGGATTTTTCATGTTTAAAAATTGATAATCCTTTGTTTTTACCGTTATTTAAATGTTTTTTAATATCAGAATTAATTGAATACCCATTAAAGTAAGAATATCAAGAAAACAAAAAATACAAAGTAAATTTGTTTAAAAATTAAATATACTTCAAGTATTTACATATATTTCGATCTGATATTTTATTAGAAGCAAATTTTTAACTCAAATTCATTACTGGTCAGGAACGTTAAAAGAAATACATTTGAGTTTAAACAATTGAAAATATTATTGGAGTACAGTACTATGTTCGATTTACCTTAATTAATTGTTAATTAATCGAAAGAAATGTATATTGTATATCTAAAAGTACAGAGTATAAACTAGACGTATCGTTCTTTTCGAAATCCACCGTAAGACTGACTCATTGTCCTCTATGAAAGTTTTTTTATTGATTGTTGTTTATATATATGACTTTCAGAAGAATAAATTCTATTTATTACAAATATGATTTTCATTATGCATATGTAATCTACGGAAAGTTATTTAACAACGATCAATAAAAGAATTTTAATTGACTTTCATAGAGGACAAAGAGCGAGTTTAACATTGCATTTCGAAAAGGACTGTGTTTTTAGACTACAATATAAATTTCCTTGGATTAATTAACAATTATTTAAAATATTTCGGACACTCTCAAGATATATAACATTCCCACTCATCTGTCCACGAATAAACACATTTCGCAATTACTATCGATCGACGTATCTCATGCACACACACTCTTTTCATGTCGTTTCATAAAATTGTATCATTTCCGTCGTCTAAGAAGTTTCACTTCAAAAAAAAAATACAATGGAACCTTAGTTTCCGAGCATAATTCGTTAAAGAAATGTTTTCGTAATCCAAAGCACTCGTATATACATGTATCAAAATGAAAAAGAAATATATAATGGAAAATCAAATAATTTGTTAATTAATATAAAAATAATAAAAAATAGAGAAAATACGAAGTAACAATTAAACAAGTTAATCCTTGTCGTTTACTAAACGTATTCGTACTGCTCGTATTGCAAGACATTGCTCGTTAATCAAATCAAAATATTTTCCTCATCATACGGAACACTCGTAAATCAAATTACTCGCAATCCAAGATTTAACTGTAAATGAAATAAATGAACAATCTTCTTGGCTATTGAATAATCGTTTAAATCACTTCGCATACCGATTTAGAAATATTTTAATCTTTAAATCCGATCTATGAAACATGCGATCGAATTTTCTCGTTTTAGAATACTTAGGAATTCATTAGAATTTTCAGTGAATCGAGTCGGAAAGTAATACACGCTATTACGCCTCTGATCAATATGCCAGACGTTAAGGAACCAGGATCATCATCTATACGGAAAACGCTACTTAATGAAATGGTTTTCAAGGAGAAGGTTCAAAGAATTGGCTTATCTGTCTTATAAAAAGGAAACGAATGAGAAGATGTTTAAGTTAGTCGAATGATAACAGTGAACATGTTAGTAACCATCTTACCATTTCTTTTAGGTATGTACATACGTGTATTTTTCATATACAATCTTTCTTTAATTTACAAGGTAGTTCTTATACATTATATTAATTTATGCGATCAGAAAATATATTTTCTGAAAAGTTTTCAAAATAACAAGTGTTTACAGTAAATTATTTAGTTATGTTGAAACGCGTTAATGGTGTATGAAATAAGAATAAAAAGTGCATTACGTTGTGCTAGTCATTATATGTATATTTGCATACTTTAGTTTTCTGATTAGTTTTTTCGTCAAACTATTTCAAATAAATATAGACTTTGTACTTTAAATTCACCCTTTCAGATGATTAGATTCATAGATTAGATTCATAGATTAGATTCATAGATTAGATTCATAGTGTAAGAGAATTCGGAATATACAAGATTTTAGATCATCCATTTAAGCCAACTTAATAGGGTTGACCAATAAATAATGTCGTAATTTTATTAATATACATATACAGACAATTAATTAAAATTATATATTGGTCATTTTGTTCTGTAACTTTTTGCCATTTCATAAATAGCTTTATAATGCCATCTATCTAAAATTTGTTATCTTTTTTTTGCAAAATATTCAGAAATATGTATCTCCCAGGCCTCTATTTTTTTCGAAATAAATAAAAATCTGATAGTGCTAAATGAGACGAATATGCAAAATTGCTTTAAAGAAAGAAGAAAAAAGTACAAAAATACATCTTCTAGCTGCTCATCTTCAAATTCAAATAAGTACTACAAAATTTGATGAAAAACTATGTAGTCTTTTTATTATTAAATTGCACCTTAAAATCTCAGCTTTCAGACTATGCATGCGTTCTATAGATTACAGAAACATGTTTTAAATCTGTTTTATAAACAGTATAAACGATCACTTATAATTAGGGACAAAAATCCGACGTTATTTATTAAGCAACCTAATAGAATAAAAAATACCCTAATCATCTATTTCCAGCTACTCAATTGACTCCAGAACACCCTCGAGAAAAATACAAATGGCAATATGGTGGAGAAATGACTTTCGACGTGTTAATAAATCTTTCTCGATCCGATATCGATCGAGGAAGACGTATTTACTGTTCCACTGTCTCCAACGAGCTCAAATGTCGAGTGAAAGATGCCGAAACACTTAGCTGCTATTTCCTAACCCCTATTATAACATTTTCAACGATTAACGATAGCTCGACGACGTGTGAATGGTCGAGAAATTTTGTACCATTAAATGATCATTTCTTTTTCGATCAAGATCCGTTCGAAATCAGATTCAATTCTCGTGGCATTGAGAATCTAGTAGTAAAAAGAACTATTACAAGATGGAAATTGGATGTAACGAAAGCTGTTGTAAGTCAATTACACGTTGGCTTTGAACTGAAAGAAGGACAATCTTCGTTTCAAACAACCGAAAATTCAAACCTTGGTCATTGCGAAGTAGATTCGAGGGTTCTTGTCTCTGGTGGATATTATGAAAACGAAAGATACGCTCATGCCAATTTTCAATTGGCTTTGTTAGATTCTAATGAATTACGTTACAGAGATATACTTAATCAAGGTGGTCAAATAATTATTGAAAAGATCAGGCATTCTAAAAAGTGTCCAAGAAGGCCTATTTATTTTTTTGGAATTCCTATAAGTCATAGGGATGACAGGGAGAGAGGAACTTTCATGGATATGGTAAAATCAATTTCTTGATTAGTAAGGATGTTTATGCAAATGCATATTTTATAGTATTTAGGATAGATTTTAAATCAATCTAATGAAATAAGAGAAGAGTTTGAGAAAAGAATTAATTTGATAAATGCATACTTTTATTCGGCTAGTAAACTATTCGGTTCGCGGGTGTTATTTAGGCGTCTACAAATTAGTGTTTATAGAACGATTATCTTACCGGTAGTCCTTTATGTCAACTTACGTTACAAGACGTGACAAGATTTAGATTATTTAGGCTATAAACATCCGCACTCTAATTGATTACGATTACATAAATCGTGTTTTTTTTTATTAGGTGTCTTCGACTACTAGAATGATCATATCCAAAAGAGGATTTTCATCGGAAACTGTTTCCGAAGGTCTACCAATCATAATGAGCGGATTAAGGAATGGACCGTCTCGTCAAAAAATTTCTGTAATTTTAAAAAATGTTGATCCTGCTAGAAACGTTCCTCCAACGATTTCGCATCCAGCTTCTACTAGTATTCATACTTATTCTAGTTTCGATCATTATACTAGACGAATGTTACGTAGAAGTATTAGATTCGAAAAATTTCTTTAAACTCTATCAAAAATGTAACAATACTAATTATTCAAAATTAAATATGCATGTAAAGCTTGAATCCATTGCTCTTGAAAAAGTAACTTTTCCAGCTTCCATAATTAATCGTATAATGCAACGAGTTAGCTTTTCCAGTTTGCCTATTAAACTTTGATTAAAATATACATATATTACATTGAAGTGTTTGTGAAAATAATTGTGTTATCAAAAATATTAAATGAATATTTCTTTTTTCTTTAATCGGTCCGCAGAAAAAAAATACTCAGATCCTGAGGAAAAATTGAAAAAAAAAAAAAATAAAAAAAAAAAAAGAGAAACTGCTACTAACTTAAATTATTATCATTATTAACAATTATTTACATTTATATTGAAATGTGCAATTTATTGAGTTTAATAAAGTCTATTTAAAATAAATAACCTGATATTTTATTAACTCATTTATTAAATTAAATATTATAATAAATCTATTTTTTAACCAAAAAAAATTAATATCAACACTTCGAATAATATAATATATGTTTTCGAGAAAAAAGTGGGGCGAATAAAAATTTTCTAAAAAATACCGGTTCGCGAACGAGAAAGTTTGGGAAACGCTGTTGTACACACTATAGGAATATTGAACGAATATTCGCATGAATGGAGAAGAAGAAGCCCGAATGGATCAGCTGATCGCGCGTAAGTAGTACGCGTAATAGTACTCGAGAAATCATAGTAGAGGGCAGGTCATTCTTGCGTAGCCAATATCGATCGAGCGCGGGAAATGTTTTCTATAACTTTTTTCTTTTAATTTTTCTATACTTTTCCAAGACCATACACTTAACATTACGAGTCTTTATTTTTTTTTTTCATTTTTAATTAAACAAAATAAAACTTATTTATTTTATCTATTTTTTTTAGATGGAGGGTAGAGGGAAAGCTTCGATTGTAATGAATATCTCGGGCTGTTTTTGATATTATTGTTAGGGAAAACTGAAGTTTTAAAATGTGATCCCATTTGATAATACAAACACTGACAATGGGGTTGAACTGAAGTTTTCTTTGAGAGTTAACGATTTAAACTTTTAGAACTAAACAGTAAACAAATCAAAGGCAGATCAAAAGAGTCCTTTCCCCTTTCACTATTTCAACTTATAATGTCAAACGCATTGGTACTTTGAACTTTGACATGGATCGGCTTGAAATCTTTATTGCCCATTAATGTTCATTAGTACTATGCGGTGGTGTGACGAACATATGAGGAGGAAAGCGGGGGGGTATATATGATCCATTTCTTAACGAATTTTATGGTATGTTTAGAATCATTATCCTGTTGAAAGTAAAAGTCCTCGTATATATCTAATTTTTCTTGCACTTTCCTTTAAATTTTGTTGTAAAATGTTCAAATATTTATATTTATCCATTGTTCCTTCTATAAATACCAAATTCTTCTTGATGCCTCCTGCTGTCATACACCCCCAGATCATAACTTATTGTGAATCACCCCTATGTTTCATTATAATACGCTATATGAGTACACAAATACGACAATACGTGTAGATGTACGTGATTTGATTGAGTCAATTGAATTTTACATCTTTATTAACATCCAAATAAAAAGGTCATCGTCGAAACAAATCGCAGAAAATGTTAATGGTGAGCAAAAATTAATATCACCAAATTAAAGATCATAATAACAGAGGAACTATAATAAAGAGTCACTAAAAATAAGTATAATTTAAGGGTAATATAAAAGAATGAGGCGAAAATGACCTCGTAAGTTGATTGATGATTGCGCAACCAGTCAAAACGGAAATGAACTTTAATGGGATAAAAAGCTATAGTAACATGGTAGGGCAGAAATGCAGATTGTGCATTACACTCTACACGGAGACTTTGAACAAGAAGGGAACCCATATTTCTTCCTCACCTTTTTCTTCTATCATGGATTTCGTGCTTATATCGTATTTTTTAGGTTAGTAGTATTTCTCTTTCTACCTCTCCCCCCATCCCCCTTCGACTCCCTCACTCTATCCATGACCTACGTCTCGATCTAACGAGACCCTAATTCCTTCAAATAATGACTGTTCTTTTATTAGTCGGTGCAATACTGACCAATTATATTTATTAGGTGTAGCAATTAATTGGGTACCGTTTTAATTATATTAGTTATATTTATTTATAAAATTAATCGTACATCTCTGTTATTCTTCGAAAAAATAGCCCTTATTATTTTATTGATAACTTTGATCCGTCTGTCAGGCAACTGTTGAATTCGTTGACGAAATAAAGATGACGATTTGGATGGAATGAATTTAATATCAAAGCTCCGAATTAATTGCTACAGCTAATATTATAAATGGTGATAAGAAATATGTAAAAATAGTGATTCAACGATCTTTTGTTAAACTCTTATTCTGTTTTAATTATTTTCAATTAAACAGGTCAAAACTTAAAGTAACGTAGTTCATTGTTAAAATAAAACCTAAAATGAAGTTTAAATAAGTACTCGGATGGTAAGAGATGGATATGTCTTCTTAAAACGATACAAATGATGACGAATCAAGTGTTATGACGTCGGTAGTGATAATCCTAACTCTTAATAAGAATCTAACCGGTCGTATATAAAAGCAGATTCTGGAGCAAGAAGAACATCAAATGTCTGTTGTCCATCCTTGCTAAGAGATGAACTTGACGATAATCCCATTCTTCTTAGGTTAGTAAAATTAATTTTTAGCAAATTAGATCATTGTAATCTTCATAGCATGATAAATCATTAATAATTATATACATGTAGCATTTTTAAATATATTTAATTAACCAACCCATGGAGAGATAAATATATTTTTAATAATATATAAATTATGTATTTTTAAATATATATTATTAATTATATAAAAAAAAATATATTAAAATA